CGGCAGTTTCTGTCAAGTGACAAAGATAATGAACGACCTTTGAGGGACCACATCCGCTGTTCTGTCTATTACCATAGTAATACCGTCGGTTTTCGTCCTACCGTGAGCAGCTGTGCGAAAGGGCTCTTCGGACACGGCGACGCGCGCGTTTAAACGAAAATTATTAGATATCTGCAACGGCCGACCACATACAGTAGACTGGGGAGGACGACTATTACGACGTGGTGTGGAGGTCGATCCGCGTGTCGGCTACAAGGTGCATTCCCGAGCTACGTGGCGGGCTGATCGGATCGGTGAAATCGAGCAGCGTCGACTTCATTAGAATTTAACGCTGTGTAAAGTGAACGCTAAGTGGATCTCTTCGTTCGGCTGTCGTCCGTTGCACCTGCAACCACGATTTTCCGTGGGTTACCCTAACTGCAGCTGCTCGCGACACCTCACATTTTTGGTGTGACCTCGATTTCTGGCTATGTCACGCATTTTTTATGCGAGCAAAATCCATTTGCAAAATTTTGGTTTTTTTATCAAAGATCTAATCTAACAATTAATTGAAAGATAAAGATAAAATTGAAATTTCATAATTTAATTTAATTGATTGAATTTATCGCATGCAAAATGCAAAATACATAAAATGGTGAGTCATCAGCGAGGCTGCTATTACAAAGCCTGCCAGAAAATTTTATGCATATATTATAAATATATAAGTATCTCGGATTTCATGCGCATATTTGTTTTATTTTTATTTTATCTGCAAATTTATAACTACTTTTTTCATGTAGGAAACATTGAGTAAACGAAGAGCACGTTGTTGAATCACAGCTAGTGTAACTAATAGCAGTAATAATTAATAACATATACTGATGTAACGCATGTGTAATTATATCGTTTATATAAATTATACAATATTAACGATCTATTGATCTAGTTTATTAATCATTCCGTAATATTCCAAGTTTATGAGAAACGCCAATCTATATCTAATAAACATACCGTGGGTGGACGGTACCCTATAATCGCTATTATTGGTTGCATAACCTGCTAATCGGAACCACATCGGTTACAAGATAACTTTATCACGTGCATAACACGATTTACGTGCACCGTATCGTCTCTGCTTGCAGCTAATGTATATGTAAGTTTAGCATGGGGATAATACCATTTTAATTATTCATGTTTTTTTTTTCATATCACCTGAAATCCGTTTATTGGAACAAAGAACATATATATTCTCATTTTACGTATTTATATTAATGTGGAATATATAATTTTACTTTGATAAAAATGTATAATTTGCTATAATTAATAATTTAATAAAATATAACAGAAAATATAATGTGACCAATATATAAAGCCATGTGTAAAAACTACACTAATATAATGCTGGAAAAATAATTGTTCTTTTTCTTCGGATAGCTCACGAAAAAGCTCATAAAATAATATTGAGATGAGAGTGGCTATCCAAATGGTTATCTGTAATAATAGCCATTTAATAGCCGTTAGTCTCTGAATAATCGAACGGAAAGCGCAGCATCCATGAGTGAACGCTGTGGCAACAGTAGGATCCCCAGAGGATCTGGAGAGAGGAAAACTGAGAGAGCCCCACAAAAGCCGTCCGAGTACGTCTTTGTTTACTCCAAGCTATCTCCGTTCGCGTTTTCGTCTTTTCTCCGATTTCCCTCGCTCACTTTTGATTCCTCCTTGCGGGGCGTCTCCGCTCCTTCGCTCTTCGAGTATCGCCAGTCCTTATCCCCTCGAATCACCTAGCAGCTCTGAGAAGATTCCTTTTATCTCGACGATATCGCGTTCGTCCCCCTTACTCTATCGTTTAAACAAACTTCTCTGTAATCGAAACTGAATCGATGGATTAAGAATCCAATTGCGAATTTCTCACTCTCTTTTTCTTTCTCTCTTTTCTCTTGCTTGTTGTCTTACTCCGCGCACCGTAAAATCCCTTCAAATGTTGTATAACTCTTATAGCAAGACGCGCACGGTTGGTTAAATTGATATCTGCGGCCGGAAAGAATCATGTAGGACGGGCGTTTTCCCGAAATACGTTTCCACTATTGCATCGACGCTCACGAAGAGATATCTATAGTGGCAGAAGTAAAAGCAGCAACAGCAGCAGCAGCAGCGGCAATAAAGCTTGCTTTATTTTTACTATCCCTCTAGCCAAGTACCGCCCCGTATTTCCTCCGGGATATTGACATATCGGGGGTGCCGGGGCTTCTCCTCTTAACGCCCTTTTTACACTGGCTCGGAATTTATGTCTTCTTCCTCCTCTTCTCGTTCCGCCCTTTACTCTTTTCGCCTAGCACTCTCTTCTTCTCCGCCTCTTTATCTCGTTTCACATCCCACGTTCTCTTCTATCTTCCTCGTCTTGCTTCTCGTCGACGGTTCCTCCTCTCGCACGCATCCACCAATTCTCGGCCACTCCTCGCGTTTCTCGGACAATCAATCACGCACGCGTATCAATCTCCACGTTGCAGAATCAACTAGAAATCTCTATTAGAAGCCGAATCACCGCGGCCTCTTTTCTCGATATTCTAGATCGAATATGTCGATTTTTTGACCGTAGAATAACGTAGGCGCAATCGTTACTGGCAACGATCCCTTCGTCGAATACTTTCTCAACGAACGGAAACGCCATTTGGATGTAAAATCACTGCAGATTAGGAATCCTGAGAAAAACGGATGGTGTTGAATTTTCTGGGTGGCAATCAACTCGGAGAAGGGGATAGTAATCTCAGATGATAAGAAATTCGTGATGTATAGCTACCTATCTACATAAAAATTATTGCTCTTATTGGTATTTTATTTTACAAAAAAATATCTTCTTTATTTCGATTTCATGATTATTGATTCTAAAATTACAAGTAAAAAATATTTTATACTGTCATGGTATAAGATTGATCAGATGGAACACGTAATGACATCTATTCAATCCCAAAGTGAGGTGTTAAAGACTTTTACCAAGGTCGAATTCCGCAGAGTCAGCTAACACGATGTGACATTTACTAACTTTTTGCGCAATCAGGCGAGAAGTTTTCTCTTCTCGCTCCCCTTTCGTGAAGGACACATGCAGTTCAGCGGACAGGAGGGGATCTTTATACTATATTAATAACTGTGTTTTTGCCGGTTCATCTAGCACGTTCGGAACATCGTTGGATGAAAGATGCGGCAATGAAATAAAAACGCGAATGACCCGCGGATGCAATCCGGTCAGTGGACGCGGAAAAACAATGAACAACCGCTCGTCAACTTGCTCGGGGGTTGTATACTCTTGCCTGCCCTATCCTCTCTCCTTCTCTCTCTTGCTCTCTTATTTTTTGTTGCATTCCTATTTATTGGTATCATGGGACATACGGTGGCATAAGGGTTGTATAAAAAAGGGCTACGAGAGGAATGTGAGGAATGGTGGAAAATGAGAGAAGCGCGAAAGAGCCACGAACACGACGGCGAAAAACGCAATATCGTGCCGAGAATGTCAAGCAGAACTACAGAATGAAAGCAGATCGAGTGGACGTTCAAAATCGTCCGACAAAGCTTGCAGACCGTCCACCAGGATTGAGAGTCTTCCAGTATGTAGCTTCGATTGCTGAAAAGCACACGACTGCGCCTCGTTACGAGCATTCGGTTACAACCGGAGGATTGTAGCTAGCGACCGTGGTCGATTATAGGTCAACTTTATTTGACGTCGATGAATATACAGTTACGACAGTTAAACGATTCGTTGATGCGAGGTGTATTTGACCATTCTCATATTTCACTATTTACGTATCGAGTATGTAATCCCGTCGTATACATATCTAGGATCAATAAAGAGCTTGTGTATAGATTAATCCCGATGCAACAGGAGTATCAGAGACATTATTGACGACCCAATACCGTTATCTTTATACAATATTCGCAATGTTGATCAAGATATAAATTAAGTACATTAAATATAATTTTGTTCAGCCGATCTAAAAATAATTTTAAAAATCCAATTTTTATACGAAATGATATTAACAAAAAATTCATATCACCGATAATTAAAATTCCTATGCACCGATTAAAAAGTTAGGATCAATAATTCATAAAATTTTGATGGAATTATAAAAATCTCGATGGAAACTATTGAGAAAATTAAAACATTTATCTTAAATTCTCTCTCTCTCTCTCTCTCCCCCCCCCCTTCTCCCTCCCTCTCTTTCTCTCTCCTCTCACTCCCCTTCCTCTGTCTCTATATGATTTTCTTTTTAAACATTCTTTTTATTTATCAAGACATTTTTATAGAAATATTACACAGAAAGAACAATTTTATTAAAGTATCAAAAAATTTAAGTATATACAGATCTCTGAAAATAATTTTGTTGAACCATTAAAATAATTAGGTGTATATTTACATTATATAATTAGATATAATTGGAAAACTCCAACATGATGAGTAATGATGCAAAAAATTTTCATTCTAGCAATGAAATAGCTTCAGTTTGAACGTCCTACTCTCTAAATTTCTTGGAATAAAATTTTACTTCAAAAGAGTGAAACTATTGCTACATTAATGAAAAAAAATGGAAATATTTGCATTCTTGAATAAGAATTGGCAGATTTTCACTTTCATTGGAGTGAAATTTTATCTTTCTTTGTTGAGTTTTATTCTAAAAAAGAAGTAAAATTTTTTTTACTTTCACTCCAAAAGAATGAAAATTTACTACTCTTGTTTAAAAGTGTAAATATTTTCAATGTCTTTTTCTTTTGGAGATTTCACTCCAAGAAATTTAGAGAATATGTAATTATTTTGATAATCCAACACAACTATTTTCAGATTTTTATCTAGTTAAATTTTTAGTTAAGCAAAATTCATCTTTTTCATATAATCTAATACTATCTTTCATTGTATTTAAATATGATTTTATTAACTGATATGTTGCGCTCGTATATTACATAAAATGTGCGATATGAAACCAAAATATTCTCATAAACAGATTGCTTCATACTAGCGTACATTTTTTTTCCAGGTCAAGTTGATCTTTGGACCCAAAGCACCACCGGCTGCGCCTGTACCTTTAATGCAACCAGCAACGATTGCGCGTGTTGCGTACCATCGGGTGGCTGCAGCTGCGGCGCAGCTTCACCCGATAGATGCGCTCAATGCGGACTGGAACAGCATTGCGCAAATAGTAAGTATTACTAAGTTAATCATAACTTACACAACAAGATTGAATTTTTTTGAAATTGTAATGTTTGCTGTAACATTTCACTACAAGTGAAGATTTCTTCGTGTAACTATATTTGATGCAGACATTAATTTAAAATATTGCAGTCAAAACGGCGCATTGTACATTTTAAGAGATACATTTCTAACGCGCTTTAATCTGCATGCATGTAAAGCATGGCATAAATGCAAAACTTATTAATCTCGTAAGCAGTAAACGAAAATTCTTTCTCACTGTTGCTTTTGCCGCTTTTTCTACCCGCTGACGATCAACTAACTGACGTATTTGCTCTCTCGGTCCTCTACGAAGAAATATAATTACGTCGTGTCAAAAAGACACAGACGATCTCTTTGAGTCTTTGCCATCGCTAAAAACAAGATTCACGCTATTAAGCCACTTGCTTCGTGCTATTTCGTTTGCAGCCGCTCGTGTCGCGTGAACAAGTGGAAATTAAAGCGTTGCGTCGCGTCGCGGCGAGCGAGTCCTTTTCGAGAGCGGCTATAGGACGGCGCGGGGAAAGAACAAACGGAGAAGCAAAAGAGAACGGGAACGTTTGTAAGAGGATGAGCCCTTGGCAATGCTCAAAAGACACTGAGATAAGATCTAAAGAAAAGAAAGCGTGATTCCAGTCAAACGTACGATACGTTCGCAGCTCGCTTTGCACGATAGTATCGAAGAAATTACTCCTGCGTGTCCGTCCATTCGATCTTTCTTTCTTATAACTAATCATTCTTGACGAAGTTCTTATACTCCATCCATCTAACCTTTCTTTGCGCTAATTACGAGGAGCGATATTGCCTTCGCGTTCCATCCATCAAATTCTTCTCTTCTCAGATTTCTTTCAACATCGCAGGATATTCTATAACCCCCGTAAGTATATTTAGTTATAGTTAAAAGGGTTTACAAATTTTTTTTGCGCAAGCTTATAGAATTTTGTTTAAAGTATAAATAAAAATCTTTAATGATGTATCATTCACTCATTAGCATCAATAACATTAAATTACTTGTCAATTTATTTTGTGATATATATTTTCAGTTTAGAACTGTACATGATCGACAAATAATCAGCGCATAATTTGCTTCAATTAGAAATTAACAATCCGCCTTGGACCAAATATGGTTCTCTTCATTTATTTATCTTAAAAATTTTGTAACAAATATATTGATTACTTTCGAGCTTAGCATTTATAAATAATATAATGAAACTTGGATTTTTTTATTATAAACAACTAAGATTACGATAAAAGAATATTTAGTAAATCTGAAATTTTGATTAAGATTTACATTTTTTAGTAAAATTTCATTAAGATTTATGTTTTTTAATATAAATTTGAACTCACTTTATATAATAAGAGAATCATAAAAGAATAATACTAATAGTCTCATGTCAAAAAGAAATATGCTACAAGATGGTATTCGCATCAAAACATCCTGTACAACATCCTACAGGAAGCAATTAAGAATCAAATTACACACTATGGCAGATTGCCTCATAATATTGCGCCAAGCTGTCGCGACTCGTCGTCGCCCAAACAACACGATTGCACAGAGACGCGCCAATGAAACTGTACGAAGTATGAGTAAGAAAAATCGTTATTAGCCACACTCCATTTTTCTCTGCGCCTTTCTGTTGCCATCTTCCTTCATCATGATGATTTCATGTAAAAATTCGACATTCTAAAATAAAAATACGACTGAAATATAATTATATTCTTAACATTTTTGTATTTCTTATAAATTATAAGAAATGAAGAATAGTAGAGAATGTTTATCGATACGATTACACAGTGTTAATCCAAATAAAATACGACCGTATCACTATTCGATAGTTCGTATTTTTATATAAGCGTCATTTTGTTCCATTTCAGTGTGCAACATAACATTGGATAGCAGACAGCTGTTCAGCAAATCGGATCGTGGCTTCGGGCAAATAAAGTCGCCGTATCTTCAAGGGCCCTCGAGGTGTACATATAGATTCGTGCCGGATACTGGACAGCGGGTCGAGCTACAGATATATCGACTGGTGTCCATCGGTCGACACAACGGCACCGCGTAAGTAGACTTTTTGGTGACGCCTTTCTTTCCATCCGCTCATATCGCTTAACGGCCTTTTGCGCCCCTAGGTTCCTTTATAGCCGCGACCGTAAACTTTATGGCAAAGTATTCTCGGCGTCTGTATAGCTTCTGCCTGACAGTTACATGCGTCTTTAAACTTGCACTCACCTCATGGTTGAGCCCAAGTAATTTTGAATACATAATAAAACATATGTGTGTGTGTGTGTGTGTGTGTGTGTGTGTGTGTGTGTATGTGTGTGTGTGTGAACACTTAAACAGCTTTTCAGTATGATATATTTGGTTTTTTTCAACTACTTTTTTAATACTTTATTCTCACTGTTTAACTTGAAGCTTTATTATTAATATAAATATACATTTGCTTGATATTGTTATTATGTTTCTTAAGACATTTTCATTGAAAAGAAATTTTATATTATATCCATTTTTATGAAAGTTATAAGCAATTATCGAATCGGATTGAGTAAGTTAACTAATATTTTGTTCCTGAAGCTTCGAAGAGTTAAGGACACAATTTAAGATCTATTGGATATTTTATGTTGTTTAAAAAGCACTCTTCAACAGAGTTTTGTGTTTTTTTCTTATAACAACAAATCGTTTATATATATTGAAAACAAAAACTCTCAAAATATTTTAAACACATTTATCTAACTCTTAAAATATTTTAAACACATTTATTTAATAATTTACAATTTTTCAATTGCAAAATAACGACCATTCATGAAATCTTCGTCTTTACTTTTCTCGTTTGTGTAAGTAGTTGAAGAGCGGACCGATATGATTGAAAATCGCTTTCGTCGATGGTCGTTTCAATTTATCATACTTCCGCTCTTACGAGACGATAGCTGGGTTCTCAAGTCCTTCTCGACTATGGGTAGAAGGAGGAGCTGAGAAGTCACGAGTAATGCCGACGGAACTACGAGAACTCAGAGGATTGGGGAGAAAAATTACTGTTTTCAGAAAGCCCTCTGGCATCCCTGCCATACACGAGCTCGTCCACTCCGACCACGTTCACGAACAAACTTCGTGGCGGGCAGGAAAGGCCTTCGACAAGCCCTGGAAAAGTTCTTACAATTTTTCGACAAGGCTCTTCAACCCCTCGTTCTCGGGCTCCAGTGTGCCACGACGGCCAAGTCGGAGCTGGCTTACGACGCGCCGAGCATCATACGAGCTTATTCTAGTAGCTTTTGTTCCCATTTCGGAATACGCAAAACTCACGCGACCGTACATATCCATGAGGTAGATGTGTGCTTACAGTGTGCGAATGGTGGTGGCACGAACGAAAAATATACGTCCGTACTTCCCTTATTGCTATCTTTCTTGAGAGAAAATACATTTCCGTTAAATTTTCAACGCCAGTCCTGTCGCCATGTCTAAAAATAACTTCAAAAATAAGTTTGTAAATCAATTACTATTAGTACTCACATATATTCGACAACATAGATTGAATCTAATAATTTTTACTCGCAGAAATAAAAATTTTTTAAATAATTTCGCATTTTATTCTTGGCAAAAATGTACGTACATCTTATAAATTAAGAGAACGTTCAAGATTAATTTTCTCATAAAAATTAAAGCCTTAAAAAAATATTGTCGGTCCTTTTGCATTTTTAGAGAAGGATCTGGAACGCGATTAAACTCCTACATTACTTGTAATGTGTAAAATATAAATCTGCATAATTCTCATATTACACTTTCAAACAATAAGAGTGTACTAAATGACCACCATCCGTTAGAAGCTAAAAGCGCTGCGTTAAACGCATATAAAAAATGCAGGAGCCCACACTTTAAGTCCACTTGTTAGCGAGGAAGGCTGGTAAGCTGAGAGCGAAAAATACCGTTACTCTTGCCTGCACGGCTCAGATCGTTCACGTTTCTTTCGTTTTCCGCACTGTGCTCTGAGAAACTGCAACGACCGGAAGAAACAGCGCCGCCCACACGAATCGTACCGCGCAAATCCTTCTACACGGAAAAATATTGGTGCTTGATCGGCTTTATCGTAGAAAATCCTGCGAAATTTTAGTATTACTTCTGAGCGGAATCCTCGGGAAATTTTGCGGGCCATTTGCGACGCTCCTTAAAAGTCGAGGCGAAAAATATCACGCGAAGAACAGTGAACTAAAGATATTCAAACAATCATCTAGCAGATGAGCTCCAAATTTCATATTATGTTGAATTGTTTTCGTGTTATTGAAAGTAACTATGGCAAATCGATATCGACGATGCGCGAGAAAAATATATTTGCATGTTAAATCTGTAATTAAAAATGTATACTCTAGATTTTTAGTAGATAATTAGAGTGATAATATATTTAAATGAGTATTTTGTCGTAAAACTTTGTTTGCTAAATTGTGTACACTCTTTCGTGAAAATTCAACATTTACGAATGAGATTGAAATAGCCGGTTTTCATAGTTTACGCAACGCATGACGCTGAATTAATATCACACCGGACCGTAGCAGGACGGAGTTGGTGGAAATATGACAAACGACACATGTTACATGCGCGGTCGTGTAATACGTGTGTAGTTCATGCTCGTTAAGTTATAATTAATGTAACTTTCCGAGTTGTACTATGTAGGATGCCATAACAGGTTCCTTGTATTGTTTTGTATCACGTTTATCACATCTTTCAAAAAAACAAATAGTTGATTACTGATTACAAAAAATTATGTTATTATAAAAAGTTTTAACGGCTAAATTGCGCCAACATATAATATTTTGAGAAAAAATATTATATATACAGTAAATATAGATTTTTAGAAGCTTTATTAAAAAGTTATAATAAAAAAATATATAATCTAGTGATAACATCTAGTGATCTCGGAGACTAAGAAATTATACCGGACAATTATTTGTATCCTTTTTTTTTTATTATTAGGGGAATTAAAAATATTTCTTTTTATGAACGTTGTTTCATTAATACATAGAATTCTTAATGAAAATAATAATTAATCTCCTGTATCACATATATGTACTTCATAAAACTGGATAAGCAGAAAGAGGATGAATTAACTCGACAAATATTAAACTTTCCGTTCTTCAATCATATTTTTACTCCCTTCTACAATTTGAGTTTTTTATCAAAATTTTTTTGTATTGTTCTAAACCTTCAAAAAATGTGAAAACTTTTCAACATCTCTATTACCAGATGTAATTTTTTTTTAACTTAAATATTAAATTTCTAGTTATAATAAAAATTGAAATATAAAGGAGAAATTTAAGTGAAAATTTCTTTTATGCGAAAAAAATCCAGATTGCCAAAAATTGTCAAAGAATTAATCAACTTTATTATATTGTTAATAATAAAAACGGATTTCTTTCATTTAAGACAGATTTTATTTTTTATCATAATTTTTTAAAGCTTCTATTAACCTATGTTTATATGACATTCTTCTAACTTTTATCTATAGAACATATTGCGCAATGTGACCATTAAAAACCTCGGAAAAATCCTGTATACACTGTCTAAAAGTGAATCAGTGAATATAACTTCACTTATACATAACAGCTATAAATAACTGTACTACAATTATAAATAATGTAATTATTAACGAACATTTATTGTTTTTCAGTAATAATACACTGATTTATTTTTAGAAAGCACTATTCATTGAAAAATTTATTAGTTTCTTTTAGGAAAGTAATAGATTTATATTCTTTTTTATGAATTAATCTAAATTAGATTTTTTTATTAAATTAAATGTTTCACTGCAGCAGCAGTTACTGCATTTCACAGATATTTATGCTTTGCACAAGTTGCGTTTATATTGTCTCTTTCTCTTCTTAACAATTGCTGTCTCACGTACACAAATCGTCTATCTTACTGCTGTCCCATACAGTCGGACCTTCCGGGGTCCTTCTCGAGCACTCATAGAAGCTTGATAATAGAACGTGAATTTCGAGAAATGGAACAAAGCGCGAGCCACTCGGGTGTCTCGTGTTCCAGTCCGAAAACCGGAAGATGTAGGTGCTCCTAATCCCGAATGCCGAGCCACGGTCGTCGCGATGTACGTGTACGTTCTCGATGAGACGCAATTGGGTCAGGTCCTTCGGCTGGACATGCACTTCATTCCGTAAACGTCTCTCGAATGACCTGCACGGTGCGATTTCAGGTCCGATGCAATGTCGTATAATATTAAGTGAATTAAGTCAGAAACACTCTCGAAAATCTAAAGCAAAGTCATAATCGAATAAAATTTCTTCTCCACAAAGTTGTACATTGTAACAATTGTATAATTCTATAGTGTTGATTTACTAACGAAACTATTATTATAATATACGCTCACAGCAAAGAAACTTTGTTAATAAAGTACGGTACTTAACACATGACATTTGTCATGATAAAAAGTTACATTTTATTCAATAATATATTTTATTTAATGTAGATAAATAATTCATGTAAATAAAAAGATTTTGCTGATTTTGCTAATTAAAAAAATTTTTGTTAGATACAGATCTGAAAATAATTTTGTTGAAATATTAAAATAATTATATAGAACGTTCAACTAGTTGCTAAAACATCAAACTTTTTGTAGTATTGCTCATTGTGTGTGTGTGTGTGTGTGTGTGTGTGTGTGTGTGTGTGCGCGCGTGTGTGTGTGTGTGTGTGTGTGTGTGTATTGTGAGTTTCCTATATAATTATAATTATTTTGATAGAATTATATTTTAACAGAATTATATTTTCAGATCTGTATCTACCTAAAGTTTTATACATATAGAGTAGAATAGAATTTATTACATTTCAGCATTTACATAGCTAAAAAAGGAGAAGTTTTATACATATATAAATTTTTATATTTTTAGCAAAATCGGTTCTTTCCGTGTTACAAATATCAATACTTGATTTTTTTTTCTTTTGATTGAAGTATTATAATAGATAGATTATATCAAGCTAAAGCTATATCAAGCTGAATATAAGGCTTAGTGAATTTAATGCCACAAATATAATTCTCTCTAGTTCTCGAGAATTGATTTGCG